TTTTGAAGACGGGGTCTCTCTCTGTTGCCCAGGCTGGAGTGCAGTGGTGCAATCTCGCTCCGCCTCCCAGGTTCAAGCGATTCTCCTGCCTCAGCCTCCCAAGTAGCTGAACTTATAGGCACCCGCCAACATGCCCAGCTAATTTTTGTATTTTTAGTAGAGATGGGGTTTCACCATATTGGCCAGGCTGGTCGTGAACTCCTGACCTCGTGATCCACTCACTTCAGCTTCCCAAAGTATTGGGGCTACAGGCGTGAGCCACTGCACCTGGCCTCCTTCTATCTTCTTATCAGGGAGTGATACCCATTTGAGAACCTCCTCATGCTGACTTCTCTTCATTTTGTGGTGGTCCTAAACTATTCTTTACCCATGCCTAGACTTTATTTTTACTGTGGTAAAATTTTACCATTACATAAAGCAAAATTTTACCATTCTAACTGTTTTAAAAATGTACAATACTTGCTGATACTAAGTACATAAGTACATCCACAATGTTGTGTAAGCATTACCACTATCTAGTATTAGAAAAGAAAAAAATTTTTTTTGAGATGGAGTCTTGCACTGTTGCCCAGGCTGGAGTGCAGTGGCACGATCTTGGCTCACTGCAACCTCCGCCTCCTGGCTTCACACCATTCTCCTGCCTCAGCCTCCAGAGCAGCTGGGACTACAGGCGCCCACCACCACGCTCGGCTAATGTTTTGTACTTTTTTTTAGTAGAGATGGAGTTTCACCATGTTAGCCAGGATGGTCTTGATCTCCTGACCTTGTGATCCGCCTGCCTCAGCCTTCCAAAGTGCTGGTATTACAGGTGTGAGCCACCGCGCCTGGCTTTTGTTTGTTTGTTTGTTTGAGACAGGGTCTCACTCTGTCTCCTAGGCTGGACTGCAATCACAGCTCACTGCAGCCTTGACCTTCTGGGCTCAAATGATCCTCCCACCTCAGCCTCCCAAGTAGCTGAGACCACAGGCATGCACCACCATGCCTAGTTAATTTTTTTTTTTTTTTTTTTTTAGGGAACTGGCTTTCACCATGTTGCCCAGGCTGGTCTTGAACTCCTGAGCTCAAGTGATCTGCCTACCTTGGCCTCCCAAAGTGCTGGGATTACACGTGTGAGCCCCAGCGCTTGGCCTAGTGTCAGAAATTTTTAATCACTCCAAAAGAAAATCTCTCAGATGAGGCATTTAACAAATGTTCGCTGTTGTTATTATCAGTAGTAATAGTAATAGGAGAAGGAGGAAGAGGAAGAAGAAAAGGAAGAATGAGAAGTAAAAGGAGGAGGAGGGAAGGATGAGAGGGAAAGCGAAAAAAGAAAAAGGAGGAAAAGATGAGAAGCAGGAGGGGAGAAAAAGAGAGAGAGAGAGACGAGAGAGAGAGAGAGAGAGAGAGAGAGAGAGATGGGCTGTGTCCAGAGGCTCTGGGGAGCAGGGATGAGAAATTCCTCAGAAGCCGACAATCTGGGCACCCTTGTCATCTCCTATCTTGCCTCCTAGGCTCAGCCCTGCCCACATTCCTTCTGCTAGGAAACCACCCAGGGACTTGCTCCTGTCTGCCCTAACACCACTGTTGCCAGGCAACCTTCTACTACTTCTCCAGCTGTCAACCTTCATGAAGCATTGGGCCTCTTTCCAATTCTGGCTAAAGTCAGAACCCTCAGAAGACAAATTGAGGAAGGAGAGATGTCATGAGAGGTTATAAAATTAAAATAGGCTGGATGTGGTGGCTCATGTCTGTAATTGCAGCACTTTGGGAGGTCGAGGTGAGCAGATCGCTTGAACTCGGGAGTTCAAGACTAGCTTGGGCAACATGGTATAATCTCATCTCTATAAAAAAATTTAAAATTAGCCTGGTGTGGTGGTATGTGTCTGTAATCCCAGTTACTCAGGAGGCTGAGGCAGGAGAATCACTTGAATCTGGGAAGCAGAGGTTGCAGTGAGCGGAGATCATACCACTGAACTCCAGCCTGGGTGAAAGAGTGAGACCCTGTCTCAAAAAAATTAATTAATTTAATTAAAATAGCTTGCTCTTTGAACACTCATACTTAGCACTGTGCATCCGAATCAGCAGCGGCTAATTTTTTTTTTTTTTTTTTTTTTTTGAGACAGAGTCTGACTCTGTCACCCAGGCTGGAGTGCAGTGGCATGATCTCGGCTCACTGCAAACTGCACCTCCTGGGTTCAAGTGATTCTCCTGCCTCAGCCTCCCGAGTAACTGGGATTACAGGCACATACCACCATACCCAGCTAGTTTTTTGTATTATTTGTAGAGACGATGGCCAGGCTGGTCTTGAACTCCAGACCTCATGTGATCCACCCTCCTTGGCCTCCCAAAGTGCTGGGATTACAGGTGTGAGCCACCATGCCCGGCCTCCTCTGAGACCTTCTAATCTCCTTTAGTTCAAATACTTCACCTGACAAACGTCATACTTATTTCGGGAGTATTGTTTTCTGAGCCCCAACAATGCATTGTTTCACAGGATGATGTGATTCCAGTCATCTGTCTTTGCGGGGTCTGTACTTCCTTCTCCCACTTCTAATAAGTCTACGTTATATCTCTGCCTTCTCCTCTCTCCGGTCTCTCCCCACCCAGAACTGAAGCCAGAACTGGCTGTGGGGGGACCACTCGGAGTGTGGTCAGGGAGGGTTTAGGGGACAATTGCCAGCTCCCTTTTCTCTTGAGTCTCTGGCTTTGAACCTTCCCTGCCCTGACCCCAGGTAAGAGTTTTCAGAATGAAGACCCCACTGGACAAAGAGCCATTCCTGCCAGGTGCGGTGGTTCATACACCTGGGAACCCCAGGCAGGAGGATCATATGAGCCCTGGTGTTTGAGACCAGCCTGGGCAACACAGTGAGACCCCGTCTCTATTTATTTATTTTTTTTTAATAAAGAGTGGCCAGGTATGGTAGCTCATGCCTGTAATCCCAGCATTTTGGGAGGCCAGGGTGAGTGGATTGCTTGAGACCAGAAGTTCAAGACCAACCTGGGCAACATTGGGAGATCCCCATCTCTACAAAAAATACAAAAAGTTAGCCGGGTGTGGCTGTGTGTGCCGGTGGTCCCAGGTATTTTTGGGGCTGAGGCACGAGAAACGCTTGAACCTGGGAAGTCGAGGCTGCAGTGAGCCGTGATTGTGCCATTGCACTCCAGCCTGGGGGACCGAGTGAGACTCCATCTCAAGAAAGAAAGAAAGAGAGGGAGGGAGGGAGGGAGGAAGGAAGGAAAGAAAAGAAAAGAAAAAGAGCCATTCCCCCAAGACCAGCCATCCCCACCACCCCCATGGCAGACATCTCTTGAGGCTTTCCTGACCTGGCTGGGAACAAAGTCAAAAAACTACAACAAAAAAGAATTGCGGACTATCTTGTCTCCTGGCGCTTACCTCAGTTTCTAATTGCACGCTCATTACTTCAGTGATGTGATTAGTATCTGCTTCCAGCAGCAGGCTGTCAGCTCGCCAGGGGTCCCTGTTTACTCTCTAAGTGCCACTTGATGAAAAATAACAGCAAAGGCAGATCAAGCTGCGACCACACGCCAGGCGGTCTCCTGGGAGCTTTACAGGGCTTATGATGGCGTTTACTCCCGCCAGTGACTCCTGGGAGCAGGTGCAGGGTTGAGCTCATGCACCGTCTTTAGGAATGAAGAAACCAAGACAGAAAGAGGTGAAGCTGTTGCTCCAGCTGTAAGTCGGGGAGCTGGGGTTTCACACCAGCCTGGCTCGCAGGTGGCCAGGCACTGCAGGACACTTCTACTTGTTGAATGGAGGAATGCAGAATTAGAAACAAAAATCGCATAGTCAGCCAGGTGCAGTGGCTCACGCCTGTAACCCCAGCACTTTGGGAGGCCGAGGTGGGTGGATCATTTGAGGTCAGGCGTTCAAGGCCAGCCTGGCCAACATGGTGACACCCCATCTCTACTAAAAATACAACAATTAGCTGGGTCTGGTGGCGCACACCTGTAATCCCAGGTACTGGGGAGGCTGAGGCACAAGAATTGCTTGAACCCGGGAGGCAGAGGTTGCAGTGAGCCGAGATCGTACTGCTGCACTCCAGCCTGGGCGACAGAGTGAGACCGTAAAATAACAAATAAAAATAAAATCACATGATCGTCTCAATAGATGCAGAAAAAGCATTTTGATAGGGGAGGGGGGCAGAGAACTGCTGGGTAGAAAAGGGCGGGGTCTCTGGCGAGGGCTCCACCCTGGAGCCTGTGCCCATGGACCTAAATTAGAACAGGCATTTCCCAAGGTGCTGGGATTACAGGCGTGAGCCACCACACCTGACCAGAAAACATAATTTAAATATATGCATTGTTAAAGGTTGAATGTTCTCCCCCACAAAAAAAAAAAATATATATATATATATACACACACACACCCACGTGTGTGTGTGTGTGTGTATATGTTGGCCCCAACCTCCAGTACCTCAGAATGTGACCTCATTTGGAGATCGGGTCTTTACAGAGGTAATCAAGTTAAAATGAGGTCACTGGGGTAAATCCTAATCAAGTATGATAGGAGTCATGTGTAAAGGGGAAATCTGGGCGGGGCACGGTGACTCACGCCTGTAATCCCAGCACTTTGGGAGGCTGAGGCGGGTGGATCACTTGAGATCAAGAGTTCAAGACCAGCCTGGTTAACATGGTAAAACTCCGTCTCTTCAAAATAAAGAAATACAAAAGTTAGTTAGGCATGGTGGCTCGTGCCTGTAATCTCAGCTACTTTGGAGGCTGAGGCAGGAGAATCACTTGAACCCAGGAGGCGGAAGTTTCGGTGAGCCAAGGTTGTACCACTACACTCCAACCTGGGAGACACAGCAAGACTCCGTCTCAAAATAAAAATAAAAATAAAAAGTATATTGTGCTTTCCACACTCTGAACCATTGTATATGGGTTCATTTCCACGTGACTTCTGGGCTTATGAGTGGCACGTTTCTGGACGGTGTACGGGGTCTCTTTTCTTTACCCCCTAATGCACAATCACGTCACAAATAGACTCCAAACCAAAGCTGTTAAATTTCCAAACCTTTAATCTCAAATCAGATCACAGCCAGGTCAGACCCTTCCCTATCTCCCCCCACCCCCACCCTGAGCTGCAGATGAGTTGTAAAAAGTCTCTCCCAGCAAGTGAATCGATCCACACCTGGGAAATGAAGGGGTCCCTGACTCCCATCCAAGACCCCTGACTTCATGCCCCCGCCCCACACCCCAGCTACCCCATCAGGTCCCCGCCAGTCTTCCCTGGGGACCCTCGTTTGCAAAGAGCCTCTTCCCATCCCAACCCCAAGCAAACCACATACAGCCACCGAGAGAAGTGTATTTACAGAGAAAGGATAAGGGGACAGGAGGCAGGCGTGTAAAAAAAACATGGGCCCCCGAGCAGGGAGAACACAGTTTCCTCAGGAGATGGAGCAAAAAGATCTTGGGGGTACAATGGAGAAGGTCAAAGGGCTTGGTGGTTGCTTAGAGAAGTCTCAGGTGTGGCTCTAGGTGGCCCGGTGCCCTCGCTTGGGACAGAGGGACCCCCAGGGCCAGGATGGCAGTGTGAGCAGCAGAAAGCAGCCGGCCCCCAACAGCAGGATCAGGCCGGCCCCCACGCCGCAGCCCAGGGACCAGGAGTACTCATAGGTGAGGCGTGGGGCCGGGGGAGGCTCCGGGTTGACTCCCTGCAGCAGGGCCCTCACGGAATGCCGGAACACCTCCAGGCTCACCAAGAGCAGCAGGCCTGCGGGAGAGAGGACAGCACGCCATCAGGCCCCCGGGACCCCAGCTGTGTCTGAACATCTCTGCCATCCTCTCCCAGCCCTCCCACCCACCCTGGCACCTTCCCACACATGCACTCAACAAATACTTACTAAACACCTACTATATAGCAGGCAGCATTTGGGAAGCTGGAGATAAAGAAAAAAAAAAAGATACAAAGTCGTAGAGACAGAAAGTAGAAGGGTGGTTGCCAAGGGCCGGAGGGAAGAGGAAAAAGGGGAGTTGGTGTTTAACGGGTATAGAATTTCAGCCGGGGAAGATGAAAATCGTTCTGAAGGTGGATGGGGGTGATGGTTGCATAACAACGTGAACGGAATTGATGCCACAGAACTGTATGCTGGAAAACGATTAAAAGGCGGATATAGAATCACAGCTAGACGGGTAGAAAGGCATTCTGGTGTTCGCAGCACTGTAGGGTGAATATGGTTCATTAGATTTTTTTTTTTTTTTTTTTTGAGACGGATGCTTGCTCTTTGCCAGCTGGAGTGCAGTTGGTGCAAGCTCAGCTCGATTGCCAAACTTCGCCTCCCGATTTCTTGCCGTTAGTCTCCCAGAGTAGCTGGGGATTTACAAAGAACGTGTCCGCCACCACCGCCCTGGCTAATGTGGTCTGTGATTTATATACACACATATATATACATATAATACACACATGATACTACTACATACAATATATAATGCATAAATTTTAGTAGAGACGGGGTTCTCACCTCGTTGACCAGCTAGTTCTTTGAACTCCTGACCTCAAGCGGATCCACCTACCTCGCCCTCCAAGTGCTGAGATTACCCCCAGGCGAGAGCCCAGCACCTCGGCTGTGTATTTTTCAAAAAGCTAGAGGAGGAGGCATTTGAAAATGGTCAAACAGTGCCGCCAATGATCAAGTTTGAAGCGAATGGATGGCTAATACCCCCC